TAATGATAATTATCACAAACTACTAACGCCTATTGTGTCTTGGCCATGATAAAATTCAACGAACCTTTTGTCTTGTTTTATGTTTCTTATTTTTATGCTTAGATAATCATTCTCTTTCTTCTAAGCAAGATATTGGCGGCTAACAAACGCTTTGTTACCACCGAGTACAATAGAAACTTCGAGAAAGAATAAGTAGTAGCTGGTACATATTGGGTAAAAAATAGTATATATAGGAATGGTGTGATTTATTGCATACAACACAAATCATCGATATCAATAACAATTGCAAAAGTGAGTTGCCGCTTTTAGATATTTTTATTATAAACGTAATGCTCTTCTGAGATCTATGATTATAATTATGTTCTTCTTTAGTTTACATATAGTTCGTATAAAAGGATTACTATAACCATGGACATTATAAATAAAGTTTTTGTTTCACGTTTCTCCATGTTTATTCTATTAAACAGTATCTATTTTACATCATCCGCGGCGGTTACACCTTCCACTGCACATTTGCTCGATATAAAAGATTCACTTGGAGAATTAGATCGAGAATCAAAATTAACAGCAAATGACACTGTATTTGATTTTTTAAATCCTCCACCAACTGCTATCCTCAAGGGTAATGATGGTCGTCTCATACTTGCACAGGTATAGACTTTCTTTGTTCGTCTACTCGTAATACTGATTGTTGTTTGCTATAGGGTATTACTTTTCCGGCTGTAATAAACCTTCACACAGCATTTGCAGTTGGCTTTATGAATCCATGTGCTTTAAATACCCCCCATACACATCCACGAGCAACGGAATTTTTTTATCTTATCGAAGGTGAAGTACAAACAGGATTATATCAAGAAAATGGTGCTAACTTTACCACTCATCAGTTACGAGCTGGAATGGCTACCGTATTTCCTCTTGGTGGAATCCACTTCCAATATAATTTAAGCTGTAAAAAAGCCACATTTATCGCTGCATTCAATAGCGAAGATCCCGGAGTGCAGACGACTGCTGTTTCATTGTTTAGACATTTACCAGTTGATGTTATTGTTGCATCATTGGCTGGAAAACTTACTAGGCCTCAAGTCGTAGCGTTACAGAAAAGTATTTTAGAAGCACTTGACAATCCATCACAAGGTCTCGCAGAATGTAGAAAAAGATGTAACATATAGTTATAAAACAGTATGCCTAAAAACAAATATTAATATATTGACAAAATATGTATTTTTCATTTTCCTCTCGTTTTTTTCTCTTTGTAAATGTTTTCTACTTATTGTTATTAGCCTGCTTTTGTTTCAAGTAATAACTACGTTGGCAGAAAAGCGGCAGCCGCTTAGAAATACTTTTTCACAGACGCTCGGTGCAGACTGAATCCGACACATCTATTCTATTAATTTATCTATCCGTCTAGCCTATTTATCACAAAACATCTATTCTTAAATAATTATCATTAGCACAAACAACTATCCCCTATTGTGTCCTGACCATGGCAAAGGCAAAGTACATCACTGTACGCTGTTTTAGGGGAAATTGGCTCTGCTTAGAATTACAGAATATACAGAGAGTTTCTTTATCTGTTCATATTGCTTTCAAATCAGGAATAAAACTTTATTCAACCTACTTTTTCGAATCTATCCTTTTTTAAATACATCTTAGAAACATCAGTGAGATAAGTAGAGAAAACAATTCTTATTGAAAAAGTTTTATTAGATAGGTGGAAAAGTCTCATTAGGCAAGGTATTTTTTCATGTTTAACACGATTTATCACTCACTACTTTTTGCATATAAAAACAAAACGCAGTTGAAGTCCAGTTAACAAAACATCATTGTACTACCACATGAGTATCATAATTGGTATACAGCATTACAACATAATCTTAAAACAAAAATAAGATGATATTCCGAATCAGCGTCGAAAACTGCATCAGATGGTGTGCTTTTGGGAACTTTTAGAGAAATAAAAAATTTTGTCAAAATTTGCCACTGGATGACGGAAATGAATTACAGAGTAATTCAAAAAAATGAATTGTAAAATAATTCGAATTCTATTCTAATTCTAAGGTACTGTGAGGTACTATAGTTGACTACAAGGGACTGTAAGGTACTATAAGGTACTATAAGTGACTGTAAGGGACTGTAAGGTACTATTAGGGACTATATGTCTGAACTTTGAGACATGTCGAATTAATGAGATGAAATATCTCGTTATTCGAAAAAATTTGAATGAATATAAAATGTAACTAAAAATATATAGTCGTGAAAAGTATTACTGGTACATCAGCAACAGAAACGATTGAGATAGAGGTGTTAGCCGCCGAAAATGAAACGTCAGCGAAAACTTGTCCGCTGTCGGCTCGTTCTTGCATGAACTTCTTTTCTGTCAGCAAATATCTTGTAGGTCTCAGATATCATTGCAACTTTCAGGTTGTAACAGCAGCAGCTTTAGTATTCCATACAAGGGAGAAATAACAGATATTTTTGATTTAAATCAATTTTAAAATTAAAAAAATCAAAACATCAAGAAACTCAGAAAAATCAAAACATGTCATAAAATTGTTAATCTCTGTTGTTCAAAATATCAATCAAGGATGAAACAGCTGAAATCAGATTTCTTTGATTTCTGTCTGAATATTGTTTTTTTTAGACCGGTCTGATTTGTGAATATCTGCAATTTACATAACATCTAGATATTCAGATATTCTAATATTCGAATGTTAGATATTTAGATATTAAGAGGGGCAGGGGGGAGGGGTGGGGAGATGAGAGTGAGTGAGATGAACTGAAGATCCTAACATCTGAATATATAAACCTCTGCAATTTGCACAATATCCAGGTGTTTAAAAATTCAGATACTCAAAATTTAGGCAGTTGGATATTTAGATATTCAGATGTTAACAACTTTAGTTCTTCTTACTCACTCTCGGAAAAAGCGTTTCTGGAATGGTAGAATGGGCTGGAACGGGCCATAATGGGCTGATCCGGAGTGACGCAGTGGGACTCTGGAGTGAATGGAATATGATGTTTTCCATTGACGTGCTTTGCTTTCTCAAATTCTGTTTTCATTTGTAGCATTTACAAGGTGGAAAAAGCGGAATGGTCGATTCCGTCCCATTCCATACCACTCCATACCATTTTTTAATGTTTTTTCCATTCTCCTTTTTTGAGAGGCTTATGGAATGCGCCGGAATGGGCCACATTGGCGCTGAGTGAGAACCTCTATTCCCTCGACTGTAAAGGAAAAGGTCTCGTAAAAAATAAAATGCCTGTATGTATGTTTGCATGTATGTGTGTCTACCCAGCGACAACCAAAATTGCTCTATGTTTGTAGTTTCATGGCATACAGTCATGCAACTTTCACACTGGAGGTATTCGACTATGGAGAATCAGATCTAATACTTCTGCTGCTTAAACCCATTTATTTCCCAGAAATAGACTGTTAAATCTGCCTTCTTGTGAAAAATTTCTCAATAACAGAACACTACAGCTCAGCCGTTTTTAGATTTGTTTTCCCAAACAGGACACTTGTTCTAAATATGGGACAAATTTCCCACATATCCGAACAAAATGTTGCATTTTTGGGAATTTCCATCTTCATCTTTAAACCTTTATCATCATTACCACCTAGTTATCCCATAGAACCATCGCCACCAGATACTTCAACTATTTTAATGATTCTAAATTTTCTATTTTCAATTGTTATTGATATCGA